TACTTCATATATACTTTTTTAACAATTCAGCTTTGATCTTTTTCTTAAATGTACACATTGACTTGGCATTTTTTACATCACTCTCTAGACCATTCCACAATCCAATTCCTTGGAATGAGGTAGACTTTCCCTTCAGACTAGTTCTGAATTTTGGTTTGACAAATATCTCTATCCCCTTAAGAAATACAAGCTTAAAAAGCAGAAAGAAGCTTAAATTACCAGAAGGAAGTGGAGAGAGCACATTTTTGCTGAATTAAGCTGAAAAAAGTTTAAATGAGCTCAGAAAATGTGGAATTAGCTGAAAAAGCTTAAATTAGCGTTAAACAGCTATAGCTGAAATAGCTGAATAAGCTGAAACTTGCATAAATAAGCAAAAAGGAACATTACAAGCTGAAATGAGCAGAAATACATTGGAAGAAGCACAAAAATGTTATAGTTAGCAAAAAGATCCTGAAAGGAGAACAAAACAGCTGAACAAAAACCCCCAGCTGAAATTATTTGAATGTAGCTGAAAAAAAAAAAAAGTATAAATTTGCAGAGGGAAGCTGAAAGAAGTGAGCGAGAGCGTGAATGGTTGTTTGTCTCGTTTGTCTCTATGTGGCCCTGTGATGGACTTGCGACCCGTCCAGGGTGTACCCCGCCCCTCGCACAGTGATTGCTGGACATGGGCACCGGCGACCCCCGTGACCCAAAATGGAATAAGTGGGTGAAGATAATGGATGGATGGATGGAAGCTGAAAGAAGCTGAAGCAGAACAAAATGTGAAAGGAGCAATAAAAGGTTGTAAACAGATCTAAAGATTTGAAAGAGGTAAAATGAGCTCAGTTCATTTTCTATGATGAAAAAAGTAAATGGTAAATGGACTGTACTTATATAGCGCCTTTCTGTCTTATTTCAAGATACTCAAAGCGCTTTACACTACAATCTGTGTCCTCATTTACCCATTCATACAGCACTCTACTAGATAGTAGCAGAAAAGGCTAAATATTTCAAAAAGGTAAAGTTGCACCAATACCAAAGGTCATAGCAGGATTATCCTGAAAGAGCTAAACGTTTTGATTTATGGTTTGTTAAAATAGCACAAAAATTGTGGAACAAGAAAGATGCTGAAAAACATACAATGGATCACGATAGTGTGAACGCTTCATAAACATTCACACAATAAGAGCCATTAAAAACCATTCCATGTTGAAATGCATTTTATGCTGAGAGATATTTTAGCCATTATGGTCCAACCACATGAATGATTTTTTGCACGATCTCACTAATATTTTGAAATCTCACGAGATGTATCAGTGCTCAGAGTATTTCATGGGGATGACTTTCAGCTACTACCACACAAAACTTGTTTTGTTAAAACCATATTTGTGGCAGCCGTCTTGATTAACTGTGGTAGCAAATGATTCTAAAAGATAAGGAGTTGTAGATGTTCACACAGTAATTACTTTCTGAGAGTTTCACTAAAGTTTGTTCAGTGGTTCAATAAATATTTTGCTAACAGACAGCATAGACTCTAATGGCAACATTTCACACAAAGATCTTGCACAACACAGATCACTTAAAGTATATGTTGTGAATGACTCTCAGCTACTTCCACATCAAGTATTATAACAATAGCTATAAAATTTACAAAGTGAAAGTATCTTTGTATTTTCTGGGATCACTTGACTGTGGTGAGTGACCATCTTTAATTGGGTTGGTTCCAAAAGTTAATCAATTGTAGACTTACAGTCAGTGATTAATTTCTTGCAGCTTTATCAAAATCTGTCTGTTGGTGCATGAAATATTTTGCTAACAGACAGAGAGAGTTGACACCAAATAGGTAATAACAAATTTCTAGACGAAGATCTTTGCAGTCCATCAGAGCTCAGAGTATGTGTTAGGGATCAGGACAGTTACCTGAGGAGTAGGTTTGCAGACAGGAGCTGTTTGTGAATTCCCTTCTTTCATACTTTGCACGTATCCACTGATCCCTAAGAACACTGAAAGTAAACAAAAACATGTTTACAGCCCCTTGTGGATGTAAACAGAAACTTTTTATTTCATATATCTTTGCCATCACCACCGTTGTGTCCAAGCCTCTCACTTCTCTATCGTTCCTCAGCCATTTATAAAAAGACTGAGTCCTCACTTTTCACTTCTGCTGAGCTCAGGAGGTTAATGGCTGCCACGCGAGGTAAAAAGTCACTCACACACAGTCTTTCTGTTGCGGCCTGTAGAAAGAAGCTGGGACATACTTCTCAAAAGTGGCTTTGGCTGCACAGTTTCCCCTCTCTGCCATGAACTGAAACCAGAGGAGACTGCATGTTCAACTGGGCGAGAAAGATTAAACGTTCATTTGATTGACTCTAAAAATGAACTTTTAAATGCAAAAGGAGATAGAGTCAATAAAATAAATAAAAAATAAAGACTACCGAGGAGGCAAAGTGAGCGTGACAGGACAGTGAAACAGGGCCAAGCAGCATGGAGACAGCAGGTTAGCAAGCAGTACATGAACCTATCATCCATCCCAGAGTTGGCATAAAGTGTGTTTGAGTTTCTGGATGTGTTCAGGGCTCACAGGAAGTCTATCAGTATTGCTACTCCATAAGTACATAAACCTTTAATCAGCTTTATCAACTAAAATTAAAATTAATCCATGCTGTCTGACCAGAAAAAGGTATGTTATTGCAAAAGAAAACACATTTCAGGAAAGAGATGGTTTTCCTGTTCTGGTTCTACATTAATATAAGAAAAATACACAGTGAGTCCATGTCATTGGACTAGCCCAGGTGTCTGCAACCCTTACAATCAAAAGAGACATTTTTACGCCTTTGTTCACTAAATTAAAAGTGTTCAGAGCTGCAACAACATGCTACAACTGTGATTATCAACTGGTGGCCCATGGGCCACTTTAGGTTTGTTGGAGTGTGGCTTTTGTGGCCACTAGGGGTGACTTGATAAAGATAAAATAACTAATAATTTATATTTTAACAATTTAAGACAACTGAAAATTTCAAAGAGAGTTTTTTTTAATTAATAAGAACTATGAACTATGCAGACCTAGGTAATTTTTTTAATTGTGGAAAAAATATTTAAGTATAAAGTTAAAGTGGGTGTGTTTTACTCCTTGTACTTGTTCCAGTATTCACATATTTGCAAAAAAAATAAAAGGAAAACTGCTAAAACTACCAGTAGACCTTTTATTGCTGTTTGTATAACAACCAATAAAATTCAGTTTTACGTCAGTTTTGGTCAAAGCTTGTATAAGAGCCGCTGCAGAAGGACCAAAGAGTTGCATGTGGCTCCAGAGCTGCAGGTTGCAGAACCCCTGGACTAGCCTATAAGCTCCAGCTGACATTATCTTTTAGTCAAGTGGCCTGTGAGAGGACTTTCTCTACACTCAAGTTTGTGAATAACAGACTGAGGAGCACACTGACACAGAAGCATCTTGAGACATTTCTGCTAATGTTAACAGAGAACGAGGCCCTGATGACTTTAGACTGATGCAGTTATGGACAGAGTTGCAGAGACCAGTGTTCTGCTCAAGCTCTTGTTAATGATGTAAGTTATGACAGTTTCCTTTTGTTTGGGGGAGAGTTGTGATGTTATAGGTCTGTATACCTTTGGAGGTTGTTTTTTTTGTTCCTTAATATTTACTTTTTTTTTATTTTTTAAGCTGCTTGTTTAATAAACTTTTATAAACTGATTTGTATTTGTATTTGTATCATTGCATACATGAAGACATAAACAGTAGTTTTGATTGTTGAAAAAAACAGTGTTTTAATGCTGCAAATAAAGTATTTGTGTTAGAACTATGACTCCACGTGCATCCGTTGGTCGATCGGATAAAAGGCCTCTCCAAAGCAAGCTCCCGGGATGAATTTCAACCTCAGCCCACCCCTGCCTCCGCCCCCGTTTAACGATGGACAAAATCAGAAGAATCTGTTCAGAGGACCTGACTCAACCTTATTAGATTAAATTTACATGGATAACTGAGCGGTCAGCAGGAGTTATACAGCACTGTAACAGCTTTAGTAAGGGTTTGTAACAATATTCTTTTAGCAACTGACTCTGGTCAGTTTGTGATCCTGTTGACCACAGTATCCTTATATTGCGGTTACAACTCTATTGGTTTTGTTCTTACTTATGCAGCAGAATAATTTGTGTTAATGTTGGTAATTTTTTATCCACTTCAACACCTCTTTCCTGTAGGGTTCCGCGGGGCTCAATTCTTGAGCCACTTCTGTTTTCATTGTACCAGCTTCCTTTGGGGTCTATTCTGAGGAAGCATGGTCTTTCTTTTCATTGCTATGAGGATGATTGACAGATTTATCTGCCTTTAAAACCTAATAATAGTTCTCATCAGTGACGATTTTAGCCTCTTTTTGGGGGTGCTCAAGCACCCCTAAATTTTAACTCAGCACGGCTGAAAAAGAAAGGGTTATTTTTGTTGTTGTTGTTCTGGATTTGGGTTTTGGGTTCTATTTATTGCATTTATGATTCAGTGCAACAAAATAAACAAATTTAAAAGGTAACAGATCATTGTAATACTTGGTTTATTTACATAATGACTTTAATCGCTGAATGTCTGGGCCCTGAGCTCTGGCTGTCAGCAACTGTGGCCCCCTGAGCAGTTTAGTTGAATAGCCTTGATTTAGAGGGTGTAATACAGTTAAAATTTTCTGGGGGAGGACACCCAGACCCCCCCCCCCCCCACCACCACCACCACCAGTGTGTGTCTCCCTCCCACATTATGAATGTGTCTGACGCCAATGATCACCACGTTGTTCAAGCCAAGCGCTATTGTCAGCACTGGGGGCTAAGCACCCCTACAGGTCAGATTCTAGAATCGCTCCTGGTTCTCACCCCACCCACTCTCTTAAAATGTTTTGATGACATCAAAGCTTGGATGGCTTCAAATATTTTTAAATTTTACCAATAAGAAAAGTGAAGTTATTGTGCACAGCCCTAGCTCTATTTCGGCAGCACAGCGGCTCAGTGGTTAGCACTGTTGCCTCACAGCAAGAAGGTCCTGGTCCAATCCCTGGTTGGACATGGGGTCTTTCTGGATGGAGTTTGCATGTTCTTCTCATGCTTGCATGGGTTTTCTCCAGGTACTCCGGTTTCCTCCCACAGATCAAAAACATGCATGTTAGGCTGCCTTCAGGTCCAGGCCTCCACTGCAAAAGAGATCTGTGATCTAATGGGATTTGCCTGGTTAAATAAAGGATAATAAATAAATAAATAAATAAATAAATAAATACTGCTGTCTCTGTTCCCATAAACCTTGACTTCTTGAGCCATACCTTAAGCAGTCTGTTATGAATCTGGGGATAATTTTAGACTCTGATTTTAGGTTTAATAAACAGATTAACTCTGTTTTGACCTTGAGAAAATAGTCCATGCCTCATTACAACCCCACTTGATTACTGTAACTTACTTTATGTCTGGGCCAGTCAGGTGTCCCTTTCAAGTCTCCAGCTTGTCCAAAATGCTGCAGCTCGGCTCTTAACAGGAACTCGTAGGCTTGAGCATATTTCACCAGTTTTATCCTCCCTTCACTGGCTCCGTGTATCTCAGAATAGATTTTTCCTGCAGACCTATAAATGCCTAAAGGGCCTCACACCCTATATTTTTGCGACCTACTTAAACCTTATGTTCCTTCTCGGGCGCTGAGATCATCTGATCAGCTACTTGTGGTTGAAGCTCCAAGGAGATCGGGCTTTGTCAGTTGTGGCTCCTAAACTTTGGACCAATCTACTCCCCAACATTAGACTGACCTCTTCAACTCCTGTTTTTAAAACATGTCTGTTCTCACTGTCTTTTAACACAAGGTGACTTGTTTAAGTCTTTTATTTTCTTCTGATGCTTTTCAATTAATGTTTTCTTGTTTTTCTTTAATCCCGGCCATTGTGTTTTATTGCTCAGCACTTTGTAACAACCTGTTTTTAAATGTGCTTTATAAATAAATTTGACTTTGACTATAATCTTGTTTCTGAGCTCAACTGTCAGCTCTCATCTTTATTTGCTCTATGTTCAGTGTGAATCAAATGATACCAAACTACCATCTGCTGTTTTGTTGCCTTTAAATAGGCTGAGTGAATGATAGAATATTTAAGGTGCCAATGAAGTTCATACACTTTGTTTGAAACATGACTATACAGGTGCTGGTCATAAAATTAGAATATCATGAAAAAGTTGATTTATTTCTATAATTCCATTCAGAAAGTTAAACTTGTATATTATATTCATTCATTACACACAGACTGATATGTTTCAAATGTTATTTCTTTTAATGTTGATGATTATAACTGACAACTAATGAAAACCCCAAATTCAGTATCTCCGAAAATTAGAATATTGTGAAAAGGTTCAATATTGAAGACACCTGGTGCCACACTCTAATCAGCTAATTAACTCCAAACACCTGCAAATTCATTTAAATGGTCTCAGTCTAGTTCTGTAGGCTACACAATCATGGGGAAGACTGCTGACTTGATAGGTGTCCTAAAGACGACCATTGACACCATGCACAAAAAAGAGGGCAAGACACAAAAGGTCATTGCTAAAGAGGCTGGCTGTTCAGAGAGCTCTGTGTCCAAGCACATTAATAGAGAGGAGAAGGGAAGGAAAAAAATGTGGTAGAAAAAAGTGTACAAGCAATAGGGATAACTGCACCCTGGAGAGGATGGTGAAACAAAACCCATTCCAAAATGTGGGGGAGATTCACAAAGAGTGGACTGCAGCTGGAGTCAGTGCTTCAAGAACCACCACGCACAGATGTATGCAAGACAAGGGGTTCAGCTGTCACATTCCTTGTGTCAAGCCATTTTTGAACAAGAGACAGCATCAGAAGCGTCTCGCCTGGGACTGCTGCTGAGTGGTGCAATGTTATGTTCTCTGATGAAAGTACATTTTGCATTTACTTTGTAAATCAAGGTCCCAGAGTCTGGAGGAAGAGAGGAGAGGCACAGAATCCATGTTGTTTGAGGTCCAGTGTTAAGTTTCCACAGTCACACAATGGTTTGGGGTAGAGCTGTCATTTCTAACCAGAGCCCTAAGCCTGGCCCCACCCGACCCAAATTTGGGGCAGGCTGGGCCATGATAATGTGCGGGATGGGCGCGACGGGTCAGTGTTGGGCTTTTATTGGGTCAGGATCAGCCGCGATCCAATTATATGATAACATGGCTTGCCATACATTCAATAGCCGCACGCGGCCATTTCACTGCGAGCTGACCGTCTTGAAAGAGGTAAAAAGTTCAGTTAAGCTTCAGATGGGACTGTACTGCCAGGAAGCGATCCATCACACAAATGAACGTTCATTCAGCCGCTGCACTCAGCAGATAGGTTCGTCTGACAACCCAAACAGGTGACATCACAAAGGAGACATGTCAGAGCAGGGTCCGTGTCTGAATAAATCAGAATGCAGGCAGAAGCAGATATTAAATGCTCTTTTACGGCCATGAAAGGACAAACACTCCCTCAGCTCCGACCTTCTGCACCAGTCCCCGACCATTAATAACTAATAAAAAATTATATATATTTTTTCAGGGTTTAGACTTGTAATTACTGTTAATTTGTCGGGTTGGGTGGGGTTCGGAAATAATGACTGCGGGCTGGAGCTGGGTCAGATCTGATTTTTGGGGCCGGAATGCAACTCCAGTTTGTGGTGCCATGTCATCTACTGGTGTTGGTCCAGTGTGTTTTCTGAGGTCCAAGGTCAACGCAGCCGTCTACCAGGAAGTTTCAGATCACTTCATGCTTCCTGCTGCTGACCAACTTTATGGAGATGCAGATTTCATTTTCCAACAGGACTTGGCACAGCACACAGTGCCAAAGCTACCAGTACCTGGTTTAAGGACCATGGTATCTCTGTTCTTAATTGGCCAGCAAACTCGTCTGACCTTAACCCCATAGAAAGTCTGTGGAGTATTGTGAAGAGGAAGATGTGATACACCAGACCCAACAATTCAGAAGAGCTGAAGGTCACTATCAGAGCAACCTGGGCTCTTATAACACCCGAGCAGCGCCACAGACTGATCGACCCCATGCCATGCCACATTGCTGCAGCAATCCAGGCAAAAGGAACCCCAACTAAGTACTGAGTGCTGAACATGCTCATACTTTTCATGTTCATACTTTTCATGTTCATACTTTTCAGTTGGCCAACATTTCTAAAAATCCTTTTTTTTAATTGGTCTTAAGTAATAATCTAATTTTCTGAGATACTGAATTTGGGGTTTTCATTAGTTGTCAGTTATAATCAACATTAAAAAAAATAAACATTTGAAATATATCAGTCTGTGTGTAGTGAATGAATATAATATACAAGTTTCACTTTTTAAATGGAATTACTGAAATAAATCAACTTTTTCATGATATTCTAATTTTATGACCAGCACTTGTAATGCAAAAGTTGTCTCTGTAAGGCTGCTAATAAATCTGCCTGTGCTATTTTATTATTTTATTATATTTACCCCATCAAATACTACATTTGTTAAACAACTCCATTTAACAGGATCTCTTGGCATAAAAAGCGTAACATTATTTCAATGAGCTGTAATGGTGACAACAAACTGATAAAAAATCTGATCTGAAGTTTAAAAAACTTGTTTTCTTCACGACTGTGCTTTTGAAGAAAGGCTGGAAAGCAGTGAAAACAAGCGAAGAGACAAATTTAACCAAGTGAAATCTTACTTGAATGCAGAACAAATGTCACTCTGTTGGAATCCATACCTGAACTAATGAGTCTTCCCAGTAATCCAGTCGTATGGATTTGATCTTGCTGACAGCGGGTAGATTACGGTGCAAGCCTGAGCAGTTCAGGCACACGAAGACACCGAGTATGTATGAGGCCCAGTCAGGTTCTGTGAAGGGTTACACATTTTTATTTAGAAGAAGGAATTAAAACAACTACAATACAATAAGTACAATTTAATTTAAATCAACTCTCTTGCTTTTCTACTTTCATGCAGGGTGTCTAACAAGTGACAAAGTGTTGGGAGTTAGAAGAGGAACAATGAGGTCATATCACAAACTTACCGGAGCCACTGCTTCCCCTTAAACAGGTTTATTACAAAATGTGACTGGGTTATAAAATGATCATTCAAAGAATCTGTTGATAAAAGCATCACGTGACTTTTCATTTTTATTTATCACTCTAATTAAAGAAAATAAGTTTGCGTCAGTGAATCAGGAATTGTCTTTAAATGATAAAAGTTGAACAAATGTGACTTATATGGACCAAAATGTCCCTTTTGTGCCATGAATCTGTTGGAGTTTACTCACCAGGAGCTGCACAGTCAGCACACGTGTTGTTCCCTGGCTGCAGCACCAGTTCCTGCAGGATTTTGTTATTTCTGCTCAGACCGGCCATAGATGAGAAGTCTGCTTCTGTCCCACAGACAGTCAAACCCACAGGAAACTGCTACTAGGTATTAACTCCATTTTGGTTCTAAACACAGCTGGTTTGAACTGCGGCAGCTAAAGAACGCTTGCTTCTGATAACTGGGCCAGTATTTCCTCTTACTGGAGCAGCATCATGAAGTTTATTGTTCTGCTCACAAAACACAGCAGTCCAGAAATAACAGAGACAGGAAGTGAAAGGCTGTGACAAGGGGATTGACTTACACTAGCTTACTGGCTGTAACTTGTACAAAATAGGAATTTGACTGGTGTGAGTGGGTTTATGTCACATTAGTTATTGTGTTTATGAGAAGTGGTCTTGAGCAACAGTGCTTTAGGGTTCCTGACGACTTTATACGAGTGCTTCTCAAGAATTTTGAATATCATAAAAATAAATCTGTCATTTTTGTCAAACATTTCAGAAAGTGAAACTCATATTATATAGAATATTATATAGATTCATTACAGAGTGAAATAGTTCAGCCTTTACTTCTTGTAACTTTGATAATTATGGCTTACAGATAATGACAAAACAAAATTCAATCTCAGAAAATTAGAATATTGTGAAGAGGTTCAGTATTGTAACCTCATGGTGTCACACTCTAATCAGCTGATTAATTCCTGGACATGAGCTACAAATGTCTCATTCCTCAAGTCCAGCCACTCTTGAACCAGAGACATCAGAAGCATCTTACCTGCTGAGAAGACAAAGAACTGGACTGTTGCTCAGTGGTCCATTGACCTCTTTTCACATGAAAGTACATTTTCCTGTCATTTGTAAATCAAGGTCCCAGAGTCTGGAGGAAAAGTGGAGAGGCCCAGAATCCATGTTACTTGAAGTAAAGTGTGAAGTTTCCACATTCAGTGATGGTTTGGGTTCATATCCTCTGCTGGTGTTGGTCCACTGGGTTTTCTGAAATCCACAGCCCACGCAGCATCTACCAGGACGTTTTAGGGACTTCATGCTTCTTTATGTTGACGAGCTTTGCTTCATGCTTCTGCATCATGAAGGACCCCACTCACCCAGCACAAACACTTTTAGCCCCGCTTCCCCCAGGAAGGAGGTTAAGGCGCATTAAGTGTAGAACCACTAGACTGAGGAACAGCTTGAACTCTGAGGCTGTTAGACTCACGGATCTCTAACCAGAATAATCACTGTGAAAAATCACATCATGTTGCTGCTGATCTGTTTCATGTTGATGTGTTCATGCGTGCTCATCTGCTCACACAGACTCATGTTCATGCTGCTGTTTGGCGTATTGTTTTTATACTACAAGTGCTTAGTGCATTTGTAGTTGATGTTTTGCTTAGTTCATATCTTAGACCTTATTACTGTTTTTTTTTTACATTTTATTGTTGGATGTAACTGGGACCCTGTGTACAAAATTTTGCATAAAGAACCTCTGACTCTCTCTGACTCTGACTCTTTATGGAGATGCTGATTTCATTTTCCAGCATGACTCAGCACCGGCCCACACTGACAAAAGGTACCAAAAGCTGGCTGTGGAATATTCTCATTTTCCGAGACACTACATTCTGTTTTTTCATTATTTGTAAGTCATAATCATCAAAATCACAAAAAATAAAGGCTTGAAATATTCCACTCTATGCGTAATAAATCTACAGGTATTATGTAAAATATGAGTTTCGCTTTCTTAAAGTACTGACAATTATTATTATTTTTTTTTTACTTTTCACAATACTTTATTCTCATTTTTTTTTTTTTAGATGTACTTGTTAATGTTTATTAGTGGCTCCTTTCCTAAGGATCATTTACAATCCTGATTTTGAGCTTTACCAATTGTAGAAGGAAGTAAAGTGTCTTCAGGCACAACAAGAGTTTGTAAGGAGAATGACTCTCAGCTACCACCAAACCAAATTTTAGCTCAGTGTGTCTTCAAACAACTGAGTTATGACCATTTTTGTGTTGGCTTATGATAATCAGCTGGTGTCCATGTCCAGCAGTCACTGTGTGAGAGGTGCCCTGGACAGGTCTCCAGTCCATCAAAGGGACACATAGAGCCAAATGAGACAAACAATCCGAAAAAGTTCAATCTGGTCCTCTGGACATCCAAAAAATACAAAGCAAAAAAATATAGAAACGTTTCATCTCTCATCCGAGAGACTTCTTCAGTCTGAGGTGCTGTATTCATCTCAGTCTCTTAAATAGCACCTTCTCAGAGTGGATCAACCAGTTTACTGCTGACAACCAAAACCAGCTGATCACATGCTCAAGAAGGACCATCAGCCTAAGATTGGATCATTAGCACACTGATGGCTGTTTACTATTCACAGGGGGTTGAGTGATACTAGCAATAACAGCAGTATAAGAAGGGGACAGTTGAACCCGGAGGCCTCCATCCCTGTTTAATGATGGACGATTTCTTTTCACAAAGATGGCCTCCTTTACTCTTCTCTCAAAACATCGTTCCTCTCTATCCAGGATGTGAACATCTTCATCCCTGAAAGAGTGACCGCTGGCCTGGAGATGAGTGTAGACCGCAGAATCCTGGCCTGATGATGTTGATCTTCTATGCTGGGCCATCCTTTTGGCCAGTGGCTGTTTAGTTTCCCCGCTGTAAGACTGATCACAGCCCTCCTGACACTGAACAGCATACACAACATTGCTCTGTTTGTGCCGGGGGACTGGATTTTGGGATGAACCAGTCTTTGCCGTAATGTATTTTGGGGTTTAAAAGCCACTGGGACGTTATGTTTAGAAAATAAACGTCTCAGTTTCTCTGATACTCCCTCAACATACGGAATGACTACTGGTCTTGGCTCCTCTTTTTCACCTGATGGCTGACTGGAGTCCTGTTTGGGTTTCTTCTCTGCTTTCAGGAAGGTCCAGTTAGGATATCCACATTGCTCTAGAGCCTGTCTTGTGTAGGATTTCTCCTTCTGAGGTCGGTTGGATGTACTGCCAAATTCTCTGAAACACCTTTGGAGACGGGTTATGGTAGAAAAATGAACATTCAATTCATGAGCAACAACTCTGGTGGACATTTCTGCAGTCAGCATGTCAATTGCATGCCCCTCAAAACCTGCATTGTGCTGTTTGATAAATCTGCACTTTTTGAGTGACCTTTTATTGTGGTCAGCCTAAGGTACACCTGTGCAACATGCTGTCTCATTAGCATCTTGATATGCCACACCTGTGAGGTGGATGGATTATCTCACTAACACAGATTTACACACATTTGTGAACACTATTTGAGAGAGAAAGGCATTTATGTTCATAGAAAAAGTCTTATCTTTGAGTTCAGCTCATAAAAAATGGGAGCTAAAACAAAAGTGTTGAATTTATATTTTTGTTCAGTGTATTTTGTCTGTCTAGTGAATGTTTTGAACTCTAGAACGGTAGCAATAATGTACCTTTAATTTTGATGCAAATCACTAACTAAGGAGACGAGTGAGTGGTTGGCTTGGAGCAAGATGAGTCAGCGATCTGGTAAGGCGGTTGGCAGCGACTGGG